ATCCACCGTCCACCCCTTTTTAGAAATTCTAAGGCAAAAGAATTGGACTTGGCAACCTTTGCAACATGATTGGACTCGACAAGAACATGCATCAAAGGATTCAAAGAGATATCCAACGACTTGACAAGGCGAGATCTACTCCTAGTGCGATCAAAAGATTCCGGCAGAATGAGGAGGCTGGGCGCAAGAAAGAGTGAAGTCAGGTGGCTCCTCGCAAGTTGGCCAGCTTGAGAGGAGGAGCCAAAGATTCCTTGGCCAAAGCTTGGACAATCAATGTGGGTGGTTTGAAAGGACTATGGAGGTTGATCCACTTACTTCAATCTACAAAACTGCACTTGAGGCCTCAGATTGTTGCAATACAGGAAACTTCTAGCACTCTTGAGGAATGGAAAGCGACTCTCAATCGTTTGGGCTTTCTTGTTTGCATGGCTTACGCTTCTTCGAACTTGATTCAAGGCTGCAAGACTAAAGGCAGTATCCTTTTGGTTTCCCATCAACTTCGATCGAAAATGCTTGACGAGGTCTATGACAACAAAGGACTCTGCAACTGCCATTGAAGTTGAGGATATGATGATCATTGCGTCTTTTTGTCCTCCTACAGATGCAGATCCACAAGAACATGCATCTTTGCTGGAAGAGATGCTTATTTGCATTGCGTTGCAAGGGAAGATGCTTTGGTGTGCAGGCTGGACTCAAGAACTTGATGAAGCGTGGTCAGTGGCTCTCGCAGCAATGTTTGATGCCAAGACGGTTCCAATTTCTGCTTCATCAACTCGATGGAATGGCAAGAGTTTGATCGACTTTGTCATTTCGAACGTTCCCAATTTGCACAGCCATACTTTGGATTCACAAATCTCTGATCACAAGATTTCGGAAACTTCTTTAGTTATAACTTGTTAGCTTCGCAGATTGGCGCTTCAAAAAGGATGTCAAGCTGGATCGACCATCTTGGCTCTCGTGCAAGGCGTGGAGCAAACTGCTGCTGAAGCTTTTGAGATTGAGCGATCAACTGGTTGGCAATGTGCATGCAAAGAGATGGATATCGAAGATATAGCAATGGATCTGGAAGGGGATCATGAACAGGAAATGACTGACTTTATTTGGCGCTTTTCGATGCTCAAATTGCTGACAATGTATCGTACTGCCTTTATTTAGCTTTGCTCAACGTACCGGGTGAGAATGTGCACTATTTGGAATTGAAACGCGTTGAAAAGCTTGCAAACATTGTTCAAACAGGTAGACTTGCAACCAGGTTCGCAATTTGTGGTGGCGCTTATACTCTTCCAATTATTTGCCTTGTCTGCATGACCTCAAGAATGGCATGCTTGACTGGGAAGCTGAGCTGAAGAGGTTGGAGGAGGAGGACAAAGAGACGGCAATGAAATCTTGGAAGAAACGCATTGTAAGTGACCTTTCTTACAGGTCGTCTTGGATCACTAAGAAGAGAGTTTCTTATTAACCACAAGTCGAATTTTCCGAGCGAACCTCAAGAACCAAACTGGAAGCAGTCGATCTCATCAAGCAATTCGATGACACTTTGAAAGACACCATCATGATGACCAAGTCTGAGAGATTGATTCGTACTACTGCGATAGAAAAATCACCTACAACAAGCTTACAGCAATGTCAGTGGAAGAGGACCTGGTTTGAAGGAACTCCAAGCGGCTTTACTTCGGTACAAAGGTGGAGCTGGCTTAGATCAGTGGACGGCGCTTGAACTCAAGTCCATTGCAAGGATACCAGAAGCTCTAAAGATCATTGCGCATTTTTTTCTTACTGGGCGAAAACTGGGACGACTCCAAGCATTTTGAAGCAGGTCAAAATGGTCTATGTCCCGAAAGTAAACAAATTGGAATTGGGGGCAGTTGCAATCAAAGCACTGAGGCCGACCACTGTCTTTAGTACAGGTGGCGCATTTAGTTCTACTTGCCCCTTTCTCCGATTGTGGATTCTTTGCGTCTTGCTATGCCAAAGGACATTTGTTGCAGGAGATGGGTTGGGCCAGAAATCCAAGCTGCAATTGCCGATGCATTTTTGGTGAAATTTGGATGGGGAGCTGCTTTAGATTTCAGTCATTGCTTTGACACTATCGATGTGGACGTGTTGAAACAAGGCCCTATTAATGGTCTTCAGAAGGGCCCTCTGTGTGACTGGGCCAATCTTATGTGCAATCGTTGGATGAGCTGCGAGAGATGGATCCATTACAACAAATGCGTTGGAAGTTGTCTCAACAACAAAGTTGGTATTCCACAGGGCCACAGGGTGATCCCGCGTCACCCCTTTTCTGTCACTACTTGTTTGGATTGGGCACGGCCGTGTCGGTCGAAACCATTTGGCAGGGAACCTTTATCAATGCATTTGGACTGATGATCGCACAGTGGCTGCTAGCAATGAAAAACTTTTTATTGATGCCATTCACAGATGGCAAAACTTTGCAACTGACTTTCATTTGAAAGAAAACCAGATAAAAACTCAAGTTGTTCGTCCAGGACCTGGCCAGAAAGCCATGGAAGCGCTTGGTGCAAAAAATTGGCAAGCCGCATGCACAGCGTTATGGTGGAATTGAAACAAACAGACGACGATTCGATAAAGCAATACATGTGACAAGGAGGATTTCTTTGCTTCCTTGCAAGCTTACACACTTACGTGACCTTGGAACCATATTGCCACCTGCAATGGCGTATGGTTGGATTGCTTGGAGTCCCAGCAAAAGGCAAGCCTTTTCACTGTGCGATTTGGAAAGCTGCTGGAAGACTATCATTTGCTTCCCGTCTCTGAGAACAATCATTAGTGGAACTCATGTGGAATCTGGACAGACAATCCTTATTAGACAATCAGGATGCTTTACATCCGTGACCGCAAGCTGAGAAGACTTGGATTGGACCCAGACACTTTCGAGACTTCACTGAACAGACACGTTGTGGAGGGACTGGAACATCTTGGATGGCAACAGCACAACACCTTTTGGAGACATATGCGTTGCGGTTCATTCTTCACGCGAGATGTCTGCAAGAAGAAGGAATGGCAAAAAAGATGTCACCAGGCGAGTGGTTCCATGAGACTAAAAGCTTGGTCTGAATTTGCACAATCAAATCGCGTGAAATTGCCAATCAAACGCTGCCAAGAACACCCTGGTGCTGGGGATTCCAGCAAAGTTCATTGACGAGCTCAAGGGCATCTTATCAGGGTGGGCCAACTCCGGGTACGCGCCCATAAAGGAGCTGCGAGTGGTGGCAGGCAAGTGCGCCTGGCTCGGAGGGGTGTTGCCGAGATCAAGGTGTACCACCCGCGTATTCTACCCGGTCCTGTCTTCACAGGCGGCTTTGAAAGCGTTGGCCATCCTAGTGGCCTTGCGGCGAGGGGTGGAACAGTTGAAAGGCATGTCGGTGGTGGTCACTGTCCAGAGCGACAGCGTCACCGCTTTGGCGCTCACACAGAAGCTGGCGGCCAAGAGCTCCAGCCCGGGATTGAACTTCTCCAGCGCCGAGCTGGCGATCTGCCTGGAGGAGCTCGGAGTGGAGGAGATCAAGGCCGTCCACGTGCCGGGGAAGGCCAACATAGAGGTGGATTTCTTGTCGGCCCAGCACCTGGAAGACGACAGCGATACCAAAGGCATTGGAAGGTGTGGGCGTCTGTGGGTTGGGTTGGTGGCCTGAGAAGTGTCGTGAAAGAAAGCTGAGGGATGATGTTTTGTGCATGACGCGTTTTCCCTTGGTGGAGGTTGGCTTGTGACCGGGCCATTTTGGCTCAAGCCAGCCACCTGAGATCTTTTGTAAGCCCACCCACCGACTTCCACAGTGGGAGTGAGGTGCGAGGTGAAAAATGGGGCAATTCAAAGCAGGCCTATCAATGCAAAGCCTGGCGTTACCCGATGGTTTTTGGGATCAAAGCAGGACCGCAAGCATGTGCGGTGACTTTCAGCAGCGCTCCTCTTAAAAGAGCCGTCTGTGGGTTGGGTTGGTGGCCTGAGAAGTGATTTTGAATCCCCGTTGAATTTTTTGCTACTAAATGCGACGCTTCGAGCCCGTTACAGAATGGTTTCTGACTACAATTTTGTGAAAATTTTGACCCTGGGTTCTGCCATCTTGTGAGTGGACCCCCCCGGTACCGGAATTTTGTATCGGTTTTGCGAGTTTGTTACCCTCCAGTCCCGACTATTCTGTCGGAATCTGGAGGGCTAATCAATAACCATTACAAATTGGATGGATTCAAAACGTAGATGGATAATGCTCAACTATAGACCCTCTGGATGGAAGTGAGCTATTGTCTTTAATGTTTGGCTTGGCCACTCAGACAGCATCACGCCAAACAGCGTCTGACACAGACTGATGAACGCAAAAGAACGGGAAAAATGAAACGCAACTCGGGTTGGCTGGGCTGTTGCAGGTTGCTGCCTAGGGATCCTAGGAGAATGCGAGTATAGCCAGCCCCAGTCCCCACCATTCTGTCAAGGGCAAATCGAGCGAGCGGATGCGAGCGGATGCGAGTCGAGCAAAATCGGGGTACCATTTTGTAACTAGGGGTCAGCTTGGACTGCCATTTTGTAACCAAAAAAATCCTCGGTGAACGTTGGGTTCTCCCAACTTGTAAGCACGGCACCTTGGGCACGCCATTCTGTAGCTACAAAATGGGGCTCCTAACCCCTCGGGCCCAATCTGAACAGGGATGATTTTGATTTTCTTTGAACATTTTGAAGGTTCTTTGACTTGGCAAGTGGTGTCAGTGTCAGTGGTGCCACTGTTGTTTCATGGCAGCGGTTCGGATTATGTTGTGTGGAGTGCATTTGACTTGTTGAACCCTTGGCTCAGGTGCCACCACAGCTCTCCGGATCTTTCGGAACCATCATGCAGTGGGCAGATGAAGTCCGTGACATGAAGGCCTTGACCTAAGCAGAGTCACATTTACATGCTTGAGATGCAGACATGCAAGTGCAAATGCTCAAGACGATACTGGTATATGATTTGAGTTAGACTATGACCATGCATGTTGATGCCCGTTTTGCTTGAAACGTTGTCTGTCAAACCCAGCACGTGGTGTGATTGCATCTCACATTGCAAAGACTCGAGTTAGTTCGGATCTTGTCTCCCATGTGTCTTCACAATAATCGTCATATATCGTCATGATTCAGGGTGACACTCTCTGAATTCCTGAGGTCCGAGCCAATGCCGAGACCCCTGCTGATGCTCGACAAGCCAAGGAATTCGGTGCCGAGGGCATTGGCCTTGTCCGCACTGAGCACATGTTCTTCGAAGGACAGCGAATTGTAGCCATGAGGCAGATGATCTTGGCCACTGATGAGGCTGATCGACGACAGGCCTTGGACAAGTTGTTGGTCATGCAGAGGGAAGACATCACGGAACTGTTCCGAATCATGGACGGCAATCCAGTGACGGTCCGTCTGTTGGATCCACCGCTGCATGAATTCATCCCTCACACAGAGGCAGAAATGGCATTGGTGGCCAAAGCTGCAGGTGTGCCTTTGGATCGCGTGAGAAGACGTGCTGCACAGAGCTGCAGGAGGCCAACCCCATGCTTGGTCATCGTGGCTGCCGATTGGCCATCACCTATCCCGAGATTTGCGAGATGCAGGCACGAGCCATTTTCGAGGCTGCAGCTGAAGTGGGGCGAAGCTCCAAGAAATTGCCAGTGGCAGAAGTCATGGTGCCCCTTGTGGCAACAGTTGAAGAACTGAAGCTGTTGAAGGGTGTCATTGAGAAGACTGCCGATGCTGTGAAGAAGGAGCAAGGAATCACTTTCACTTACAAGATCGGCACCATGATCGAGCTTCCACGCGCAGCTCTGCAAGCGGGCCGTTTGGCAGAAATGGCTGAGTTCTTCAGCTTTGGCACCAATGACTTGACCCAGACCACCTATGGCTTGAGCCGAGATGATGCTGGCTCCTTCTTGCCAGAGTACAAGGCCAAGGGCATTGTGGAGCACGATCCTTTTGTGAGCTTGGATCCTGACGGTGTTGGTGAGTTGATCACCATGGCCGTTCAGCGTGGTCGCAGCACCAGGCCAGAGATGAAGATGGGCATTTGCGGTGAGCACGGCGGAGATCCAGCCTCCATTGAGGTCTGCGAGAAGATCGGCCTGGACTACGTGAGTTGCTCGCCCTTCAGAGTTCCTGTTGCACGACTCGCAGCAGCTCAGTCTGCTCTTAAGACAAAGGGTGAGCAGACAAAGCAGAGTTCCACAAAGGCAACCAAGCCTCGGGTGCAGACTTTTGGCCCTTGGTGAGCTAAAAGTGCAGGCAGATTTGAAAATTGTTTAAATTCGGTTTTGATCAATTTTGATCAGATGCTATGCGTGACACGTTTACTGCAGATGTTGCAGTGTTAACGAAGTGCATGCAAAATGCATGGGCTGACAACAAGTCGGCAAAGGCCATTTTTGTGAGCAGTGCTTCGGCGACAATACTGGATCTGATTTAAGCAAAAACCAAATCTAATGCCAGCTTTGGCCAATTTCAAGCCATTTAAAGCCTAAGGGACGCATTTTGGAACCTGTCCTGTTGCTGCGGAGTGCTCACATTTAAGAGATTTCAAGGATGGCTCAGCTGCAAGGAACTTCGACAGGAAGGTTTGCAGCTTTATGCGACAGCAAGATCCAAATACCTTGCAAACAAAAGAGGCAGGCAGCCTCGGGCAGCGCTGGCCGCTGTGCTCCAGCAAGTCATTTGATCCATCATATAGCATGATTCATATGATATCAACGCATCATCCGTTCTCTGACTCGTGTCTTTGCGTGTCAGAGTTTGCGAAACCGTTTTTCTCAGAGTCAACTTGCAAAGGCAGGTGCGTCAGGGTGTCCTGTGAAGCTGCATTTGAGGTTCAGGAGTTCACGAGGTGATCAAGATTCGAATTTTGCTTTCGCCATGGCAAAGTGGGTCTACGACTTTGGAGATGGCAAGGCGTGAAGGGTCACAATGGGTCACAAACCATAGGATGGAGATGGAGTGTATTGTTGATCCTGCAGAACCTGTAAAGCTTGAAATCCTGGTCTTTGCACGTGCACGGAACGTTTTGAGAGTTTTCTGTGATTCATTTTCAGGCAGATGGCCGAGCTGAGATGAAGAATCTTCTCGGAGGAAAGGGTGCAAATCTCGCTGAAATGGCCTCCATCGGATTGCCCGTGCCACCGGGATTCACTCTGACTACAGAGGTCTGCACTCACTTCTACCAGAATGACTGCCAGTATCCCAAGGAGCTTGAACAACAGGCGTGTGCCACACAATCACTAGCAGTTACTAACGGTAGTCACTAATGCAATGACTCAGATATATTCAGATTCGTGGAGTTGTCATTATCATTTGAGATTTTCTATGATGAGGCTCTATTCCTGTACACATTCTGGTATTTTGCATCCTTTTACATGCGTTTACATCCCTTCAGATCCTATTTAAATACTTTGACATGACTTCAGCCATCTTGGGCCGATGAGCGATTTGAAGGTGGAGAAGGCCTTGAATTTGGTCGAGACCCGCACTGGACGCAAATTTGGTGACTCCATCAACCCACTTCTGGTGTCAGTGCGTTCTGGAGCACGTGCATCCATGCCAGGAGAGTGAGGGCAGAAAAAGGATGACATGGATTAAAAACGAAGGTTCTTGAGAGCAACAAACCTGTTTGACTAGCGATTTCAACCGCAGGAAGTAGACTTGAAAATCACCCCCTCTCCGTTTTCACCTGAATGCCTGTTGCTCTGTCGCAGGAATGATGGACACAGTTCTGAACTTGGGACTGAACGACATCACGGTGGAGGCTTTGGCAAAGAAGTCAGGCGACCGTCGCTTTGCCTTTGACAGCTACAGACGCTTTGTCCAGATGTACTCTGACGTTGTCCTCGGCATTGAGATCAACCACTTTGAGAAGCATTTGGAGCGTGCGAAAGAGAAGCGTGGCGTGAAGCAGGAGAATCTATATAAAAAGGGTTGTCACAATGTTGTTTTGGGAGTACGCCATGTTGTATGCTAATCCCCAACTTTGACGAAATTGCCTCAGTGTCGCTCAGTCGGAGCAAAATGATGCCTCGGCAGGACTGCGAGTTGCTTCCAGAGGACTTGGAAAAGCTGGTCAAGTCTTACAAAGCCGTGGTCCAGTTGGAGCTTGGCGAGGAGTTCCCAGAGGATCCAAAAGCACAGCTTTGGGGAGCCGTTGGTGCAGTCTTCAATTCCTGGATGAATCAGCGTGCAAAGACCTACAGGCCTCTAGTCATTGTCAGAGTATGTCAGAGTGAAAGCAAGGAAAATTCCAGAGACCATACAAGATCTTACTTGGACGCTTTGAGTCACCAATCTGAATATGTAGATATGACATGATATCACAAGAGAATAGAAAAGAATACACGAGATGCATATCTGCATATCACACAGACTTGAGAACTTCAAACAAATTTAAAAGCATGTTTGGCAATTGCTTTGGCGAGGGCATTGCACGACATCCCGGAGTGGTGGGGCACAGCTGTGAACGTCCAAGCCATGGTCTTCGGAAATATGGGCAACGACTGTGCGACTGGTGTTGCCTTCACTCGCGATCCTTCCACCGGAAAGAATGAGTTCTACGGTGAGTTTTTGGTCAATGCGCAGGGTGAAGATGTCGTCGCAGGCATCCGCACTCCACAAGAGCTTACCATCAGGGCTCGCCAGTCCCACGGCTCCGACTTACCATCCTTGGAAGAAGTGATGCCAAACATCTTCCGCGAGTTGCTCTCAGTGCGCAGCCAGCTCGAGACTCACTACAAGGACATGCAAGATATCGAGTTCACCATCCAGCAAGGCAAACTCTACATGTTGCAGACCCGCAATGGCAAGCGAACAGCTCCTGCTGCGCTGCAGATTGCTGTTGACATGGCCAAGGAAGGCTTGATCACCAAGTCGCAAGCTCTTCTGAGTTTGAAGCCGGATTTGATTGACCAGCTTTTGCACCCTACTCTGGACCCCAAGGCCAAGAAGGAGATCATTGCCAAGGGCCTTCCTGCCTCTCCCGGTGCGGCGGGTGGCAAGGTTCCTTAGCTGAACTCATGATAACTCCTTGTTGATGTGTATCTTGAAATATTGATTGAACATGATTGATGAGATTATAGTTATAGTTGAACATGATTGATAAGATTAGTTGAACATTACCGAAACGCATGATCGAACAAGTTTCAAGATGCCTGAACACATTCTCAACTTGGAATCTACTGATTTTGTGTTTTCTACTCTTTGAAGACTTTTGGAGATTCTTGCCGGTTTCAGACACGGCATTGTGATTTGTAGCCTAAGTTGTATGAATTTGTCACCTGCAAGTCTGCCATGAGGTTGTCTTCTCCGCAGATGAAGCAGTGCGACGCTGCAAAGATGGCGAGAAGGTGATCCTGGTTCGTATCGAGACCAGCCCAGATGACATCCACGGTTTGCACGCAGCAGAAGGAGTTCTGACCACCCGAGGCAGGGGTTGTCCAACAGTGACTTCCGTGAGACGTTCCCTCTCCCGAGTACAGGAACATGTGACAATAGAGTAACTTTGCGGAACTATTAGCATCATCTAGTAGCTAAGCCTCCTTTCCCAAGATTGAACAAGCTTAACACAACCTAATCTGAATCTTCTTTGCCGAAACTAAAATTGATTTGGTGCCCTTGGACAGAGTTAGATAGGTGGCATGACCAGTCATGCAGCAGTGGTTGCTCGTGGAATGGGCCGACCATGCGTGGCTGGTGCTGGTAGCATCACGGTTGACTATGCCGCTGCCAAGCTCTCTGTGGGCTCTGTGACTGTGACTGAGGGACAGATCCTCACCATCGATGGAAGCACGGGGGAAGTGATGGTGGGAGAGGTTCCCACAGCGCTTTGGCCGAAGCCAGTGAACGTTTTTCTTTGATTTTCTTTGACATATTTTGAATGTTCTTCGACTCGGAAAGTGGTGTCAGTGTGAGTGGTGCCGCTCTGTTTCATGGCAGCGGTTCGGGTTATGTCCTGTGCAGTGCATTTGACTCGTTGAACACTCAGGTGCCACCACAGCTCTCCGGATCTTTCGGAACCATCATGCAGTGGGCAGATGAAGTCCGTGACATGAAGGCCCTGACCTAAGCAGAGTCACATTTACATTCTTGAGAAGCAGACATGCAAGTGCAAGTGCTCAAGACGATACTGGTATATGATTTGAGTTAGACTATGACCATGCCTATTCAACATTGTTCAACGTTTTGCTTGAAACGTTGTTTGTCAAACCCAGCACATGGTGTGATTGCATCTCACATTGCAAAGACTCGAGTTAGTTCGGATCTTGTCTCCCATGTGTCTTCACAATAATCGTAATATATCGTCATGATTCAGGGTGACACTCTCTGAATTTCTGAGGTGCGAGCCAATGCCGAGACCCCTGCTGATGCCCGACAAGCTAAGGAATTCGGTGCCGAGGGCATTGGCCTTGTCCGCACTGAGCACATGTTCTTCGAAGGACAGCGAATTGTAGCCATGAGGCAGATGATCTTGGCCACTGATGAGGCTGATCGACGACAGGCCTTGGACAAGTTGTTGGTCATGCAGAGGGAGGACATCACGGAACTGTTCCGAATCATGGATGGCAATCCAGTGACGGTCCGTCTGTTGGATCCACCGCTGCATGAATTCATCCCCCACACAGAGGCAGAAATGGCATTGGTGGCCAAAGCTGCAGGTGTACCTTTGGATCGCGTGAGAAGACGTGCTGCAGAGCTGCAGGAGGCCAACCCCATGCTTGGTCATCGTGGCTGCCGATTGGCCATCACCTATCCCGAGATTTGCGAGATGCAGGCACGAGCCATTTTCGAGGCTGCAGCTGAAGTGGGGCGAAGCTCCAAGAAATTGCCAGTGGCAGAAGTCATGGTGCCCCTTGTGGCAACAGTTGAAGAACTGAAGCTGTTGAAGGGTGTCATTGAGAAGACTGCTGATGCCGTGAAGAAGGAGCAAGGAATCACTTTCACTTACAAGATCGGCACTATGATCGAGCTTCCACGCGCAGCTCTGCAAGCGGGCCGTTTGGCAGAAATGGCTGAGTTCTTCAGCTTTGGCACCAATGACTTGACCCAGACCACCTATGGCTTGAGCCGAGATGATGCTGGCTCCTTCTTGCCAGAGTACAAGGCCAAGGGCATTGTGGAGCACGATCCTTTTGTGAGCTTGGATCCTGACGGTGTTGGTGAGTTGATCACCATGGCCGTTCAGCGTGGTCGCAGCACCAGGCCAGAGATGAAGATGGGCATTTGCGGTGAGCACGGCGGAGATCCAGCCTCCATTGAGGTCTGCGAGAAGATCGGCCTGGACTACGTGAGTTGCTCGCCCTTCAGAGTTCCTGTTGCACGACTCGCAGCAGCTCAGTCTGCTCTGAAGACAAAGGGTGAGCAGACAAAGCAGAGCTCCACAAAGGCAACCAAGCCTCGGGTGCAGACTTTTGGCCCTTGGTGAGCTAAAAGTGCAGGCAGATTTGAAAATTGTTTAAATTCGGTTTTGATCAATTTTGATCAGATGCTATGCGTGACACGTTTATTGCAGATATTGCAGTGTTAACGAAGTGCATGCAAAATGCATGGGCTGACAACAAGTCGGCAAAGGCCATTTTTGTGAGCAGTGCTTCGGCGACAGTACTGGATTTCATTTAAACAAAAACCAAATCTAATGCCAGCTTTGGCCAATTTCAAGCCATTTAAAGCCTAAGGGACGCATTTTGGAACCTGTCCTGTTGCTGCGGAGTGCTCACATTTAAGAGATTTCAAGGATGGCTCAGCTGCAAGGAACTTCGACAGGAAGGTTTGCAGCTTTATGCGACAGCAAGATCCAAATACCTTGCAAACAAAAGAGGCAGGCAGCCTCGGGCAGCGCTGGCCGCTGTGCTCCAGCAAGTCATTTGATCCATCATATAGCATGATTCATATGATATCAACGCATCATCCGTTCTCTGACTCGTGTCTTTGCGTGTCAGAGTTAGCGAAACTGTTTTTCTCGGAGTCAACTTGCAAAGGCAGGTGCGTCAGGGTGTCCTGTGAAGCTGCATTTGAGGTTCAGGAGTTCACGAGGTGATCAAGATTCGAATTTTGCTTTCGCCATGGCAAAGTGGGTCTACGACTTTGGAGATGGCAAGGCGTGAAGGGTCACAATCGGTCACAAACCATATAGGATAGAGATGGAGTGTATTGTTGATCCTGCAGAACCTGTAAAGCTTGAAATCTTGGTCTTTGCACGTGCACGGAACGTTTTGAGAGTTTTCTGTGATTCATTTCCAGGCAGATGGCCGAGCTGAGATGAAGAATCTTCTCGGAGGAAAGGGTGCAAATCTCGCTGAAATGGCCTCCATCGGATTGCCCGTGCCACCGGGATTCACTCTGACTACAGAGGTCTGCACTCACTTCTACCAGAATGACTGCCAGTATCCCAAGGAGCTTGAACAACAGGCGTGTGCCACACAATCACTAGCAGTTACTAACGGTAGTCACTAATGCAATGACTCAGATATATTCAGATTCGTGGAGTTGTCATTATCATTTGAGATTTTCTATGATGAGGCTCTATTCCTGTACACATTCTGGTATTTTGCATCCTTTTACATGCGTTTACATCCCTTCAGATCCTATTTAAATACTTTGACATGACTTCAGCCATCTTGGGCCGATGAGCGATTTGAAGGTGGAGAAGGCCTTGAATTTGGTCGAGACCCGCACTGGACGCAAATTTGGTGACTCCATCAACCCACTTCTGGTGTCAGTGCGTTCTGGAGCACGTGCATCCATGCCAGGAGAGTGAGGGCAGAAAAAGGATGAAAACGGATTAAAAACGAAGGTTCTTGAGAGCAACAAACCTGTTTGACTAGCGATTTCAACCGCTGGAAGTAGACTTGAAAATCACCCCCTCTCCGTTTTCACCTGAATGCCTGTTGCTCTGTCGCAGGAATGATGGACACAGTTCTGAACTTGGGACTGAACGACATCACGGTGGAGGCTTTGGCAAAGAAGTCAGGCGACCGTCGCTTTGCCTTTGACAGCTACAGACGCTTTGTCCAGATGTACTCTGACGTTGTCCTCGGCATTGAGATCAACCACTTTGAGAAGCATTTGGAGCGTGCGAAAGAGAAGCGTGGCGTGAAGCAGGAGAATCTAATAAGGGTTGTCACAATTCGTGTTTGGAGTACGTCATAATGTTTTTATTGCTAAGTGTCAAATTGCTGATAGGGATATGCTAATCTCATCTAATCTCCAACTTTGACGAAATTGCCTCAGTGTCGCTCAGTCGGAGCAAAATGATGCCTCGGCAGGACTGCGAGTTGCTTCCAGAGGACTTGGAAAAACTGGTCAAGTCTTACAAAGCCGTGGTCCAGTTGGAGCTTGGCGAGGAGTTCCCAGAGGATCCAAAAGCACAGCTTTGGGGAGCCGTTGGTGCAGTCTTCAATTCCTGGATGAATCAGCGTGCAAAGACCTACAGGCCTCCAGTGTTTGTCAGAGTGAACACACGGGAAATACTTCAACAGATTCAAGATCATAGAAGATTTCACTTGGATAGTTGCTTTGAGTCACCAATCTAATTGTGAATATGACAAGAGAATACACGAGATGCATATCTGCATATCACACAGACTTGAGAACTTCAAACAAATTTAAAAGCATGTTTGGCAATTGCTTTGGCGAGGGCATTGCACGACATCCCGGAGTGGTGGGGCACAGCTGTGAACGTCCAAGCCATGGTCTTCGGAAATATGGGCAACGACTGTGCGACTGGTGTTGCCTTCACTCGCGATCCTTCCACCGGAAAGAATGAGTTCTACGGTGAATTTTTGGTCAATGCGCAGGGTGAAGATGTCGTCGCAGGCATCCGCACTCCACAAGAGCTTACCATCAGGGCTCGCCAGTCCCACGGCTCCGACTTACCATCCTTGGAAGAAGTGATGCCAAACATCTTCCGCGAGTTGCTCTCAGTGCGCAGCCAGCTCGAGACTCACTACAAGGACATGCAAGATATCGAGTTCACCATCCAGCAAGGCAAACTCTACATGTTGCAGACCCGCAATGGCAAGCGAACAGCTCCTGCTGCGCTGCAGATTGCTGTTGACATGGCCAAGGAAGGCTTGATCACCAAGTCGCAAGCTCTTCTGAGTTTGAAGCCGGATTTGATTGACCAGCTTTTGCACCCTACTCTGGACCCCAAGGCCAAGAAGGAGATCATTGCCAAGGGCCTTCCTGCCTCTCCCGGTGCGGCGGGTGGCAAGGTTCCTTAGCTGAACTCATGATAACTCCTTGTTGATGTGTGTATTTTGAAAGTTAATTACAGTTCATTGAGCATGATTTATGAGATGATAGTTGAACATTATCTATGAGATGACAGTTGAACATGATTGAGATATATTGAGATTATAGTTGAACATGACTGAAACGCATGGTCGAACAAGTTTCAAGATGCCTGAACACATTCTCAACTTGGAATCTACTGATTCTGTGTTTTCTACTCTTTGAAGACTTTTGGAGATTCTCGCCGGTTTCAGATACGGCATTGTGATTTGTAGTCTAAGTTTGATGAATTTGTCACCTGCAACTCTGCCATGAGGTTGTCTTCTCCGCAGATGAAGCAGTGCGACGCTGCAAAGATGGCGAGAAGGTGATCCTGGTTCGTATCGAGACCAGCCCAGATGACATCCACGGTTTGCACGCAGCAGAAGGAGTTCTGACCACCCGAGGCAGGGGTTGTCCAACAGTGACTTCCGTGAGACGTTCCCTCTCCCGAGTACAGGAACATGTGACAATAGAGTAACTTTGCGGAACTATTAGCATCATCTAGTAGCTAAGCCTCCTTTCCCAAGATTGAACAAGCTTAACACAACCTAATCTGAATCTTCTTTGCCGAAACTAAAATTGATTTGGTGCCCTTGGACAGAGTTAGATAGGTGGCATGACCAGTCATGCAGCAGTGGTTGCTCGTGGAATGGGCCGACCATGCGTGGCTGGTGCTGGTAGCATCACGGTTGACTATGCCGCTGCCAAGCTCTCTGTGGGCTCTGTGACTGTGACTGAGGGACAGATCCTCACCATCGATGGAAGCACGGGGGAAGTGATGGTGGGAGAGGTTCCCACAGCGCTTTGGCCGAAGCCAGTGAACGTTTTTCTTTGATTTTCTTTGACATATTTTGAATGTTCTTCGACTCGGAAAGTGGTGTCAGTGTGAGTGGTGCCGCTCTGTTTCATGGCAGCGGTTCGGGTTATGTCCTGTGCAGTGCATTTGACTCGTTGAACACTCAGGTGCCACCACAGCTCTCCGGATCTTTCGGAACCATCATGCAGTGGGCAGATGAAGTCCGTGACATGAAGGCCCTGACCTAAGTAGAGTCACATTTACATGCTTGAGAAGCAGACATGCAAGTGCAAACGCTCAAGATCCTGACTACGACCATGAATGTCAAAAAAGATGTTTAGCGTTTTCTGCCATATGTTGAAGATGTTTGAAGTGTTTTTGCTAGTTCTCCCCGTCTCTTCAGAATGATTCACAATGATTCAGAATGACAATCTCTGAATTTCTGAGGTGCGAGCCAATGCCGAGACCCCTGCTGATGCTCGACAAGCCAAGGAATTCGGTGCCGAGGGCATTGGTCTTGTCCGCACTGAGCACATGTTCTTCGAAGGACAGCGAATTGTAGCCATGAGGCAGATGATCTTGGCCACTGATGAGGCTGATCGACGACAGGCCTTGGACAAGTTGTTGGTCATGCAGAGGGAGGACATCACGGAACTGTTCCGAATCATGGATGGCAATCCAGTGACGGTCCGTCTGTTGGATCCACCGCTGCATGAATTCATCCCTCACACAGAGGCAGAAATGGCATTGGTGGCCAAAGCTGCAGGTGTACCTTTGGATCGCGTGAGAAGACGTGCTGCAGAGCTGCAGGAGGCCAACCCCATGCTTGGTCATCGTGGCTGCCGATTGGCCATCACCTATCCCGAGATTTGCGAGATGCAGGCACGAGCCATTTTCGAGGCTGCAGCTGAAGTGGGGCGAAGCTCCAAGAAATTGCCAGTGGCAGAAGTCATGGTGCCCCTTGTGGCAACAGTTGAAGAACTGAAGCTGTTGAAGGGTGTCATTGAGAAGACTGCCGATGCTGTGAAGAAGGAGCAAGGAATCACTTTCACCTACAAGATTGGCACCATGATCGAGCTTCCACGTGCAGCCCTGCAAGCGGGCCGTTTGGCAGAAATGGCTGAGTTCTTCAGCTTTGGCACCAATGACTTGACCCAGACCACCTATGGCTTGAGCCGAGATGATGCTGGCTCCTTCTTGCCAGAGTACAAGGCCAAGGGCATTGTGGAGCACGATCCTTTTGTGAGCTTGGATCCTGACGGTGTTGGTGAGTTGATCACCATGGCCGTTCAGCGTGGTCGCAGCACCAGGCCAGAGATGAAGATGGGCATTTGCGGTGAGCACGGCGGAGATCCAGCCTCCATTGAGGTCTGCGAGAAGATCGGCCTGGACTACGTGAGTTGCTCGCCCTTCAGAGTTCCTGTTGCACGACTCGCAGCAGCTCAGTCTGCTCTGAAGACAAAGGGTGAGCAGACAAAGCAGAGCTCCACAAAGGCAACCAAGCCTCGGGTGCAGAATTTTGGCCCTTGGTGAGCTAAAAGTGCAGGCAGATTTGAAAATTGTTTAAATTCGGTTTTGATCAATTTTGATCAGATGCTATGCGTGACATGGTTAGTGACACAAGGCATGGCTGACAACAGGTCGGCGAACGCCTTTTTTTGGTGAACATTGGTTCAGCAAAGGATCCTTTGGATGTTCGGTTTTGAAGCACTTAGATGCAGGGCAGATGGGCAGATTACATTTTCTTGTTTCGAAAGGATTGCTGTGAGAACCTGCTTGCCGTTTAACAGATTTGAAAGATGGCTCCGCCGCAAGGAACTTCCACTCAGAAGGTTTGTGGCTCGAAACTTTCTTACGTCAAAAAGCGGCCTATCTTCGATTGCGGCTGATCTTCACGTTTTTGTTCCTCATACATCTGCTTGTGATCCCCTCATCATTCATTGCATCATTTATTGCATCCTTCATTGCATCCTTCATTGCATCCATTTAGAATCATTCAGATCCGCTGAAAATCCATTATATCAGCATATTCAGCCATATATCATCCATGATAAAATGTAAAATCCATTGAACATCGAATTAAAAAGTGATTGGTGGTTTGGAAAAAAATATTTTTCCCATCATATTGGGAATGTCATCATCCCAACTGACTTTCATATTTTTCAGAGGGGTAGGTTCAAACCACCAACCAGAAAAGTAATGAATATTGAACATCGAATTAAAAAGTGATGAACAATGGATTCTAAATGATCATGGATGATATACCCTCCAGTAAATTAACAGTTCGACCCTGAAAATCCCAAAATTTTAATGGAAACTAGTCTTCCATAGTCTTCCATAGTCTTCCAACTGCCAGGGTCGATGTTAATTTACCAGAGGGCAATGGATCATATATGGATGTTAATTACCATGGTTTCCTGTAAAAAAATCCCTTAAACCAATCCAGTGATCCTATGACTTCATTGGATGATATAATGGATCATATATGGATGATATTAAATGGATCATTGGAAATCCCTTTGAAATCCCAGCAATTTTCAGGTCCGAGCCCGGCGTGGAGCCGAGCTGAAGGTCCTGAGCGCAGTGGAGACCAAGGCGTCCCAGAGATTTCTGCGGCATGATTTTCCCATGGGTTTTCCAATGGAAAATTTGTGAAACTCCCAGGAAATTGGATGGAAAATCTATGGAAACTCCCAGGAAATTGGATGGAAAATCTATGGAAACTCCCAGGAAACTGGATGGAAAATCTATGGAAACTCCCAGGAAATTGGATGGAAAATTGGATGGAAAATCCCATGAACATGATTTAAAGTGGATGATTTTTTGGAGGTATCCGATAGGTATTCCCATTTTAGGACATCACCATATGGAATCATATGGATTTAGTCATCTGTCTTAAATGGGGTACCCCCTAATTCCAAAAGATTCTCATCATTGTCCAGAAAATGGCTATTTAGGGTATAACGGAGACCCCATTTTCAGACTCTCAGACACACCCATCTATAAAAATCGACATTTTCATGGACACAACTTCAGGTCTTCATTAACCCCGCCGAATGTCACCATTTAAGCGACCGGCCGAGGTTTCCAAGTCATGGCGATATAACGGTGAAGTCATAGGGACATATATTTTTCTCGACATCACGTGGCACGACTTTTAACCACTGGATGTATCTGGATGTACCGATTTTCAGAAAAATCCGTGACTTATGAGGAGAGGCTCCAAAAAGGACCCATAGAATGCCGAGTCGACTTGGTTGATGGGCTTTTTTGCCCCATTTCCATCCATTTCCCCTGTATCTGGTGTTTTTTTTGCAGCCCTCAAGACATTGATCGCTTGATCAGCAATGCATCGTGGGATATGCTTTGGACATGATGCCAATTAGCGGGATACCATGGGAACATATTTTTTTGATGGGATAAATATTATAATTATGTTCCCATGGCAATATAACACCATCATTAACACTGGGATAAATATTATAATCCCATGGCAATATTCATATGATATTGCGAGAATATAAAACTAGCATATAATGAGATTACCGCTGAACATAGGGATTAAGACAAGCGTCATGTGGATATATGTGGATATGGGATATTATGGGATACATTACGAAAAATACTTCATCTGGGTTGGGTCGGAAATGGAGGTTGCCCGAAATGGAGGTATACTGTATATTGAATGGAACACATGAATCTGATAAATTTGAATACCCACTTGGAGGATTTTTATGGTTTTTTTTGGGTAGCCACTTTTTGGACACACTCAAATGGCACAAATTGGCATCGTCTAGATGAGCTGCAAAGATCTGGAAACCATCCGAGTCTCAGAAGCCAATTGTCAGGCTTTTCATATCCACATATCAACAGCATTTTATTCAGATCCAAATATCAACAGCATTTCATATCATTCAAATTCAATGAGATCCACTGGTCATTGGATTGGTTTAAGGGAAAAATTACAGGAACCCCCCATCTGAAACCATGGTAAGAACCCTGGTTTCCGGTTTCGATTTTGGCTTCAACCAATCCATTCACACTGGGTCTTCCAGTTTGAACACAACGCGTGAACACTCGAAGCGCTGGACCAGGTGCCAGGCTACTTTGAAAAGATCCGTCACGAGGTTCTTTGGGGAGAATTCTGCGGATGGGGGCGATGAATTTCTATACAGGTCCCTGGAAAGTGGACATGGCTAAGAAATGCTAAGAGTTAAACGAGTTTCCGGCTTTACATGACAGTATACAATCTATTCCATATCTATTCCATATCAACACTGTATTTTTTGAGCAGATGTTGAAGTGCAGTGGCTAGGTTGCAAGTATCACATCTCTTCCGATCAGCGAATCGGGCCATGGGATCAGGTGGTTGACCGCGACAAGGGCAAGGGAGAGGACCAGCAGTGACCAGCCGTTGGGAATCAAATCATCCCCGAGTTCTCAGTTGGTTTATCCCATGATGTTTGATCTGATGGCACTGATGGCACTATGTTTATTGATCATGTCTATCCATCCCCAATGGATAATCATGGATAATCTATCCCCATGGTTTATCTCATGTTTATACTATGGCACTTAGGATTTTTTTCACCAGCGAAGTTTGAAAAGATCCGCAGGATGGCACTTGGGGCACAGACACTATGACGTTTCAAGATGATGAGCTCTCCTACGCCCTGGGTAAGCAGGGTGGAACCAGGTTGGGACCTTGGAGAATCTCCGATCCAAATGATCCAAGAACTGGCCATGTTGAGCCATGTTGAGCCTGCTGTTGAACTTGCCAACATGGCTGGGTAAACCATCTATAAATTAGGTGAACTTATGGTTAATCTATGGTTAATCTAATGGTTTGTAGCTATAAAAAATTGCAGATTGCTGCCCAGACTTGTCGATTGAGTCTAGAAATTATTCAAAATCAACCGTCTTCCCTCCAAAAAAGCGCCTTGCGAAAAAAATCGAGGAAAAAGCTGGAACGAGCCTCCGGTGCGGTGGTCCAATATGTGGGCCAAAACGCACTCTTCTCGGGGGAGAAGTCTCTTAGGCGCAAGGCTAAGGACTGCCCTGGTGTTATGGAGATTTCGGTCCTGGCACCATGAGAATCCCACTGAAAAAAAGGTCTTGTCAGATTTGTCAGCGGCAGGAAGAAACGTAGATGTTCAGATATGTTCAGATGTTCGAAGACATGCATCTACTGGGCTGTTGTAAAGATCTTCAGGTATTTTCTGTGGTGTTTCCTTCTTTTTGGAACCATATCCATCCATATCCCACGGCCGGCGAACAGGAGTACATGAAGTGGTTGTTCAATCAGCTGGAAGGACCTGCCAGGACACTCAGGATTTATGGCGCCACCGTACTATACATTACTATGTGGCAAAAGAATGCAAAAGAGTTGAACAAACACTCAGAAACATTCATTTGTTGTTCACCTTCAGGATACATTGTAGGATATTTTTCGGAAACAAAGCTTAAAGTCCAAGAAGTCCAAGAGAAAATTGGTGCAGTGAAAGCAGCGAACTTCTTTGGGAATGCAGTCCTGAGGTCTATGTCGATGGCTGGGAGGACAGAGATGACTGTACAGTGGTGGATGTTGGGGGGCCCATTTTTTTTGCGACGAGAGGTGCCGGGACGGAGAATCGATGATTGGAATGATTGGTGCCTGGTTTTGAAATACCAAGGTAGCAAACAAAGATTAACAGACGGCGATGTCTGTTGAAGAATCAATTAGATTATATTTGATTCAACTGTAGTAGCGCAAATGTGGAGCAATGCAACACTGATCCTGAGCTGCTGGAGGGTTCCTCAAGGGTTCCTCAGGTTCCCAGCGAGTGCATTGGCTATGTGACTGGTGCACGACGTGCAGCCCTTGGAAATATGGAGGAGGAGACATGCCACAGATGCCACAAACAATAGCACAACCATAGCATCAGCCATTGTTAGTTGTCATCGTTGGGGCAACGTGCACGTGGAAGTCTACCAACAAAAATGATTTCTCAATGATAGGAACTCACGCATACAAGTCTAAAACACATCCACCCAGGAGGCTTCTATTATTTCTTTTTGTTTTCAACACATCCAAACAGCTACTATAAGGTATTGCATTCTCCACTGAAAAGATCTGAAAAGAACAGTCCACTTGCAAACCAGCGCTTTTCGCTGCAGGAGTGGGGAACTCTCATGTTCTTCATGAACAAAGAAGCCATGAATGGCGGTGGAAAGGCATCGATGTGTCGCTTGCCGTGCCAAGTGTTTCTTCATGTTTCAGCAACATTTTCAGATGCATCGTGGGTAACCAAACATCTCCCGAAACCAATCGATCTGTCCCAGCATTCTAAGACGCTTGTGATGCCCTTTTTTTTACTCTAGAAACACCGAAAGCATCCGAAAACAACGCCATGAAATTTGCTTGTGACTGCGGTTTTTTACATATTTTTTACAATGTTTTTACCATGTAAAACCCATGGTAAAACCCATCATTTTCCGCCAGGGCCGGGACCGCAGCGATCGCAGCCGCGGGGGATCCGAACAGCTGGCGATCTTCGGGGATCGCCGGGCGCGGCGGGGCGCGGAACTCAAGGTGCCGAGAATCCGAGAAGAGACGATGAATGGAAGAAGTGAGTTTTTGTATATGTTGAATATTGTTAATGCTGTTAATGAATATTGTTGAATAGTTTTTTAATCTTTAGATGTTCACATAGATGTTGGACATTTTTGAGTCTTTTCATTGTTGTTGAGATGATTTGTCATTGTTATGATGGTGAAATTGACAACAGGATATTGATTGAACTTAATAAATTTAATCTTGTAAGACGATACATTGGACAGGGTTGTTGGCAGAAGGTCATCTAAGAAGTGTTATGCCATGCTTTCAGTGACTTTGGCGCCTCTTGACTCGACTTTGACATGTACAGATGTTGTTTTTTGGACTGCGCAGTGACTGCGTGTTGTTGTTTTTTTGTTGTTTATTTTGATACCCACTCTCTTTTCATGGTCAGTTTGAAAATACATACGCTATTATCTAGACATGAAATAAATATACATCATCAATCATCATCATATATCCAAATATATCCAAGCATATACAGCATATTCAGCATATTCATCAGATATTTATCAGATATCCATTGTGAGATGGAGTACTTCCCTTGTTTCCATCCGCAGATCATGAGCGCGGTGGAGACGAAGAGCCCGGGAGTTTTCACCCGGGGCGTTCGGGAGAAATTCAGTTCCGTGGGGGACCCCAACTCATCGATGTTCAGAAATGGTTAAGTCATGGTGATTTATGGATTGATAATGGTTAAGTAATGGTTAATACTGGTTGATATTCATATGGTTAATACTGGTTAATACTGGTTCAATACTGGTTCAATACGGTTAATATGGATTGATAATGGTTTATGAATGATGATGGTTAAAAGTTAAAATCGATCTGAACATCTAAACATGTTATCATTGTTGTGATGTTCAAGCTATTGAGCTATCGCTGCTGAACTGAAGATGGCTATAGATGGCTCCAAGATATCATCTAAATATATCTAAACACTGTTTTTTTTGCTGCTTCACCTGCTACTTCTACAGAGCTTCTGCATATGGCAAGATCATGCTCAGGAGAAGGGTTTTGCGACAGATCGCTTCGTCCTGAAGGTCAGAGAACGAAATTGGGGATGATGTGAGTCAAAACGGTCTGAAGTTTGCATGTTGCATGGAATTCAGCTTGTTTGATTTGCTTGATTCGAAATGTATTTGCACATATGTGGCCCAATTTCTCAGCTGATGGCAGTCATGATTCAATATGTTGAAGCAGGACTAGATGAATTGACACAGTAGTCTAGTGAAACTTCGCCAATTATGATCATTTATGATCATGTACGATCATTTATGATCATCTTCTATGATCATTTATGATCATTTATGTTCATTTATGATCATTCATGATCCAAATATGTCTTAGAACGTCTTAGATAAGTACGGATCACATCACATCTGTCACATCTCTTTCCTCTGAAACGACAAATCCGGGAAGTCTGTGTCCAGGATGATGAACTCAGCTATGCTCTTGGCAAGGAGGTGCAAAACCATCTGGCTGGTGCAAAAATGAGAAGCTGCACACTGCCGGAAAAGATACCACACAATATTTTCACAATATCAGTTAAACAATCAGAGAATCAGATATTGATGGCTTTTCATTTTTTTTCAACCATTATATATCAATATATATATATATATATCACCCATAGTTTATTTACTGGGTGTGACGTCAATAATTCCTGAGGCTTTTCAGTGCCTTTTCAGAGCCTTAAAAGGACCCGGTGATGCTTCTCCATGCCTCCATGGCTCCATGGGCACCAGGGCGCCACTCGGAAGAAGTTGGAATTGGCCTCGGGCGCGATCCTCCAGTGCCTTGCGGGAAAAAATGTGGAGAAATTTCTGCCGGGTTTGGGTTAGGATGGCCTTGAACATTCTGATACCATTGGATTATTGGATATCATCGGATTGTATGTGGTAAGTTTTGTGAAAAATTCATGAAGAGACCTACGGTATATTTCCATATGACCTATGTTTGGATGATAAATCTACATAAATCTCTAATAATCTCTACATTTTAGTTTATGAAGATGCCAAATATCATGGAAACATCCTGCTATATGCAGTCCAGTGTCCCAGGTACGTGGGCCACGTTGCCTTTGTGGCTGGCGACCTCAAGGAGCTGGTTTTCTCGGTCGTTTTCCTATGTCTTCGTAGGAAAAAACAGGAGAACCTTCTGGGGTTTGGAGGTTTTCTCACAAGTCTCAGACAATTTTCTATTGTGATTGTTTGCAGATGATTTGGTAGCCGCCTGGTAGCCCTTGATAGGAGCGGAAGCGCTGCAAGCAGTTCATCGTGCGGCGGCATAGCAAAGAGCAGATAGTTGCAGTTCACCAGTGGGATTTGTTACTTTGCAAAGCTCATGCCTCAATCTCAAAGTCCCGAAATCCCTAAAGATTCTCCAATGTCATAGATTGTTTGTTATCCCATTTATAGATTGTTTGTTATCCCATTGAAATAACCAGTTATATAACTAATAGCCATGGCCATAACTGTAAGATCTTCGAATGTTCTTCAGGATTTTGGATGTTTTTTGTGTCCGTGCGGCACTCGCTGTCGAGGATTGGTTGCTCTCACAGCGTCGGGGCTCTGTAACGGTCTCCGATATCCAAGGCAGGTCGGGGCTCGGAGCCGCGATGTGTTGCGGCTTCGTAAAGTTTGCGACTTCGTGCATCGTTTTTTAGAGATCATTTGTCCAATGACGAACCATTGAGATATATGACTGATATGACATACAAACATAATATAACAATATATAACAATATATAACATAATATAACATAATATAACATAATATAACCTTGGTTTCTTATGAGTATTTCCTGTATTTCGCCCTCATCTCTTTAATGCAGATCGCGATGACTGCACGGAGATGATGATCCCGGAGAACTGCAAAGGTGTGCCATCCCGATGTTTCGAGGGTATGGCATGGGAATGGACCGGTGTCAAAGGATGGAAGTAGAAACCATGGATGGACCATTTTTTTGCGATGTTTTTACATTGTGTTTTTCTGCTTTTCGGAATGAATTGAATGAATCAACAATGCAACTCACGGCAAGGGATCCTGTGAAATACAAACACAGGGTCAAGGATTTAAGATAAAGATATTTCAACATATGACACATTCAAAGAAATAAGAAAAGGAAAGAAAATGGATAAGCAGAATACGGAGAGAGACAACTCCTCCTTTATGTTGTGATGCTCGCTTGTCTCGCTTGGATTTGGGTCTCAACAGGTTTCCAAGCCGTGACTCACCGTGACCAGTTTCCGGTCGTTTCCGGTCAGGTTGGGTCACCGGGAATCGAGGAAGCGAACTTCGCCGGGTGGAACAGGCGACCCATAGCAGTTTTCACCCTGCTGTTGATCCATGATTTGGCGTAAATTTTGAGGCCACAGGAACCTTTATGTTCATGGCGCTGGACAAGCATGGAGAGGACGTCTGAATGAATACTTTGCCGCTGGTTCAAGTCGAAGAACTGGGGTTGTTTCAAAATTTGGAATCCAATATCTAATTGTTTACCTTTTTTCTCATTGAAATCCTTATGGAACATGATCCATAAATCGGGCTATCCCCCACTTTGAGACAACCCCACAGAGATGGCAAGGAACTTGGACAGTCTGCCACGGCACGAGGAGCGATTGTTGATCTTCAGCAACAACCCGGGCTCCAAGACTGGGGATGGTGGCCGCGCACATGCTGAGCGGATGGTGAATGAGATGGTGCAGGACCGCCGTCGTTCGTATCTTTCTGGTGGAATGATGTGTTGTTTTTCATGATGAGCTTAGGCTGCTACGCATGAAAAATTTGGGTCTGTCTGAAATTGTCTGAAAATAGAGGATACCACCACATGGTGATCTCAGGGACAATGATGACAAACCAGTGGTTTTTTAGGGGCGCCCCATGTTCAACCTGACACCAGCCCGGTGTCTCACAGCTTTCATCAGGAGAAACTCCGTGGTGATTCCCGTGGCCGCGGGCGCAGTGACTCCCGCTCCCGCTCCCGGCGTCGAAACTCAAGGAGGAGGCTTCGGTTGGTCGATTGGTAGCTGTGCCATGGAACCCATTGAATCATCTGTTCTTGGTCAACTTGAATGCAAAATCACCAACACAGCGACGTATATCCTAAATATCCAGTATGAAGGTTGCCAATGGCAGTATGGTCTACAATATCGGTATATCGAAAAAATTGGATATGCATTTTTCGTTATCCCCAGATCCCAATCAAATCCCCATCATGTATCATATACCCAATTAGTACCAATCTTTGAAAATTTTGGGATGTAGCCATGGAAATTGATGATTATCAAATTATTAGATATTATTAGTACATCCCAAAGATCCAATGGAAATTACTATGGATAATTATCCCATTGAATCATCTGATGGATTATCATCCCCATTATCCATTTATATTAGTATATTATTATGATGGTAATATCATACAAATGGATATTTCATGATATATTGATATAAATGGATATTATTATTATAATTATATTCCATGAGATATCTATTATTAGTATAAATGAATAGTAAACCATTATCTTAGTACATTTATATTAGTATATTAGTACATCCCCATTAAACCATTGTCTTTATCATCCAATTTTTCTGATGGTTTTGAAATCATCCCCATTGAAATCCTGATGGCGGCGCCGACTCAGCTGCAGATCCCCCTCCCGGCGGCGACGATCGCCGTCGCGGCGCCGCGACTCGCGATCCAGGCGTCTCGGATGTTGGAACATGTTGGAACCACGATGGAAATACCCTCTGGTAATTTAACGTAGCTATTGAAAATGACCATAGAAATAGTGGATTTTCCCATTAATAGCATGGTGATTTTCCATAGTTATGTTAGTTTACCAGAGGGTATGATGCACATTTGATGAAATCTGTGGAACTATAGTGAAATCTTTTGTGAAATATGTGAAATATGGGAGGATTGTTTGGAGTTGTTTCAGAGGCCTCTTTGAGGATTTTTGATTTGGCTTGAACATGGACTGTTTCAAGCATGTTACCATGTTATGCTTTCAATCTTTCAATGAGTTTTTTTCAGGAGATTCCGTCCATAGATTCCCATTTCTTCAAGTTGTACTGTAACACAAAGCTGAAAAGCTCCTCCATGCCCTCTCCAAATGCCGCCTAGGTCTCGGCGATGAACTGAGTTGGGATTTGAAGTTGGATGCGAATTTGAAGCGACAGTGGCGAGCACAGCACACCTGTAAATATGCTCACATATAACCAGATTGGGTATATATATATTACTTACGATCCTGCTGGGTAATTTTTGCACCATCAATCCGGGGCACTATGCTGAGAGAACGAACACCATGGCACCACAATTGATAGCAAACGCCACGCTGTTGCGAGCGCATCCACCTGAGTTACTGCAACTCACGTTCCAAATGATCTCGTGGAGGAATATGTGCAGTGTGTCAAGTCGGATGTGGCGAGGAAAATATGGGAGTCGGCATGTCGATGACAGCTATTCAGATGATTTTGCCACTGGGGGAGAGTGGAATGTCATTTTGCAGCTGAAGCAAGTTAATTAGGCAAAGCATGTGGTGCATGGAATTCATGAAACGCTTTCTGCGAATCGTTCTGAATTGGCTGTAGATATGGTAGCTCGTCGAGAGCTGCAGCAACCTGCAGACTGTGCTCTTTAGAAACCAGGCTGTCATGCGTTGTTTTCGGCTCACATGGGCACGTGAAGCACCTGGGCTGGCAGAACTGGAACATCTGGAGCTCATGGACAAAGTCAGCGGACGGGACCTGGCACAACGCCATGCCCTGCGGCTGTGGTGCACCCAACGGAGTGCGCCCTGAGCCACAACCTGTTCCACAACAGATGTCGCCACAAGATGCAACGTGGCCACAGCAAGGCGAGCCGCAGCGGCAACAGCAGCCGACGCAAATGTGGCAAAGGGAGCCGGGCCACGAAATCCTCAAGCAACTGGGTGTCGGGGGACCAAGGCCTACTGGAACTCACTGAAACTCTTTTTACAGTGGGAGCTGTTTCACCGTGTGCAGTACTTCAGGTCACACCTGCTGGACCACCAGAACTCCCAGTGCACGAAGAATGTCTTTCCCTCCCAGAGGCAAATTGCTTTCAGGGGTCAATGGGGACGCACACTCTATACAGTTCATACACTCTTGAAGTGAAGGATCGACCATGTTTGGCCAGCATTTAGACTTGTATGATGCTGTTGACAATAGTGTAGACTAGTAGACATCTGTAGACATATCTACGTCTGAAATTATTGCTATATACATCAATCACTCGAGAATTACCATTACCGCCCCATCCATCGCAAGAGGGAGAGTAGATGAAGGGCAGCCCAAAAGGCAAGGGTTGGGGCAAGATGAACAACGGGAACGGCCAAAACTGGCCTACCAGCAAAAACACACCCTGGAAAGGCCCGAACAGGCTGATGAGTCAGATGGACAAGAGCCCGGAGGACGGAGCCTGTTCGGGCCTTTCCCTGGTGCAAGTGGCCGCAACAACATGTCACACACCGCTCGCAAGAGGGAGAGTACATGAAGGGCGGCCCAGAAGGCAAGGTTTGGGGCAAGGTCTGGGATGTACCGATCTACGGTTGGAAAGGGCGTAGAAGGTAGAGAATGAACTTCGATCAAAAGATGGAAGTACAGATCCTGGAGTTTTCTGTTTGTTGGATGAAAAACGAACCATGCAAATGACGACAAGGGACAGGGATCCTGTTTATGACAAACACTTTGAGGTCAAGCGTCGAGGATTGAAGATATTCAAGATATTTGAGCATGTAACATCATGTAACATATTGAAACGGAATACCAGGAAATCGATCCTTCAGAGATTGTGATGCGTTTGGCATCATGATGATCCAAGCATGTTGCAAGGTTGGGTCACCTGGAATCGAGGAAGCAAACTTCGCCTGGTGGAACCGTCCCAAACTTGGATAACTTTGGGTGATAGGGTCGACATTTGAAGCCTCAAGGGCTTTCATTGGTTTCAGAACAATCACAACACACAACAACTCACAATTTTTGATCCATACATATTTGGTGCGCATTTTTTTTTGTGAGAGGCTACAAGAACCTTTTCATGGACAAGCATGGCATGCATGAAGAGGACTTCAAGACTATTTTGCTGCTGATTCAACTCGAAATTTGGAACCCCGAATCTAGTGGTTTACCTTTTTTTTCCCGTTGTCACATGGGCCATGGATTGGGCTATCCCGGCTACCCCAAGAATTTTGAGACAAACCAAGATGGATCACAATGGACTTGGACAGTCTTCCATGGCACCAGGAGCGATTGGTTGGGTTTTAGCAACGACTTTCTCAGCAACGGACTTAGGCCTTGACTGGATTCAAATCACTCCGCAATGCATCTGGAATCGATGTTGAATTTAATTTGGCTGTCAATTTCTGGCTCATCACAATGCTGACACAAAGACACTGACCTGGGACAAGGTCCACATATGTCCACATTCCTGATGGACAAGAAGGTTGTCGCGACGAACCAGGCAAAGTAGCTCCAGGATGATCATATTGAAAGCATTGGAAAGCTATGAGTAGATTACATAGATATACATAGATTAGATTGCAAGATGTGTCAAGAGTCAAAATGTAGAGGCGCAAACTGTTCCTGGACCTGCCACTCTGGCAGAAAACGGCAAGCTGTATTCTTGAAACTTTGCTCGTCCTGAAACCTGTTGTTTTCTTGCGTTTTCATCCTGGATTGCTACATGTGCAGTTGATTCAACCAGCGGGTGGGACTCTTCTTGGACCTATGAGCCACGGCCAGGATTGGCACACTCGATTTCTATGAGTACTTCCGGGGTGGCATTGCGGGTCCTTAAACCTCGCAGATGGGGATTCCTGGCAGGAGCATCTTGGTTTGTACGGTGCCAGCACAAGTCTTTCTGGTTTTGACTGTGACCCATTCTCCTTAGAAGGAAGCGCAGGTTCGCTGCTCAGGGTGTTTCCAACCCAAGTGGCTGCAGACCATTTAAATTCCACATGCATTTTGAATGCTTTTGCAAGGAGGAACGCAAGTTCAAAAAGGAGGAAGAGAAAAAGAAGCAGGACTGCAATGTTTTTTTGGTCCAGTTTGCTTGTCTTGATGTTGGTGCATGTAAGGGGTCACAGAAGCATCAGTTTATTGAAGGTCAGTGAGTGTCGTGGATACGTCTTTGCGGAGTGGATGCTCATGTATGGGCTGATTTCTTGCAACCACCAAGCTGTGATTTCTCCAAGACTCAACCCAGATATAGAGCACAATGTCAGAGCCAGTTTCAAACAGTTTCAGCATCAGTTCCTCAGGCCTCGGTATTTTGTTTTCCTACCTACAGCCCATTTCAGACAAGATTGCAGGACAAAACATCATCTGCAATTCAAGCATGCATATATATATATATGTACATATATATATATGATATTATATTAGTAAGTCCATACTGGGCTTGCTTGAAGCCGTGTCCATGTTCTTCTCCTGCAACAGTTGCCTCGGAACTCCTGAGGAGAATTTCCAGGTATGAAAAACATGTGAAAACAACAACATCAAGCCATCAGATTTTCGTGCTGGGCAAACAATCTAGACATGATGTTTGATATTGCTGAAACCATCGAATCCATCGATGATCATCAGTTTGATGACAACATCTCCAACCTTCATGGGGATGGGTCAATACATGTCCATACGCATATGGGGCCATTTTTTATAGGATAAACGTTCCATTCATAACAGCTATTTTGTCCTTAGCCAGGGCACGAGGGTTTTGACCCATGCATGGACACATAGAAACATCATCTTACCATCGAATGAGGAATTTGACCATAAAATGCCAACCAGAATGCGAATTCAACCTGAATGAGCAGGTTTCAACCCATCCCCAATCCAAACATGGGTCCTCAAGAAAAACTATATCGACCCGCAAACACTGGGGATGTTCCCGCGAGGTCTCCAATTTAGTCTCCGTCAGTTCCTCAGAGGTGCTGACAGAGCTGATACCATGCTGCTACCATCGGGGTAAACCCACAACCACAAGACATCCCTCATGTTGCGATGAACGTGTGCTAAAAATCACGCGCAAAAGGTAGTTGTCTATGGCATGGCTCATGGGGTTTGGCAGCACATTTGTCTATGATTTGATTTTGGTTGATCCATGCCTGTCACATTGCGAGAATTTGCAAGACGTTGTGGTGCTGAGATTCAACAGCAAATCCTTTCACGGCTTTTGCCATGCCATTTGCAGTGGAAGCTCAATGAATCTGACTTTCGTGTTTCATCCAGAAACGAGATCTTTGGCCTAGTCGCAAGGCATCTTACTTACTTAACATTCACCCATTGACACTTGCGCAATCCATTGAACCTCAGGACTGTGATTTGAAGAAATCGACATGTCATTGTCAAAACCCATGAAAGCGATTTTGTAGGTCTGCTTCCACCTTGATGTCAGTGCGTCCTCTCCTTTGCTCCGGTTCTGGAACGGATGAGAGTGACAGCGCAAGTCAGAAGCGCGGGGATGATGACGAAGAACTAGTAGGACCAGCAGGGGAAGCAGTCGATTCGGGCGACACCGAAGGGTCGGAGAGCCCAGATGAAAATGAGAAGCAAGTGAAACCGTACTTCCTCAGGCCAAAGAAGCCAGAGACCGAGCCAGGGGTCACTCTGGACATCGACCGAGCCCCATCAGCCCCGCAAGTTCTTGATGTGGTGGTCTGGGTGAGAGTCGATAGTATCACTGCAATTGACCTAGAGAAACAAAGCTTCACGGGAGACATGTGGCTTTTTCTCGCCACAGCAAAAGAGTACAAGAAAGGCGACACCGAGAGAGAGAACATCGTGAAATTTTTCGGGAGCTTTCCAATCGACAAGGACCATAGCGAATATTGGGGTGCGATTCAAAACCAGGTCACTGCGGCTGCCACCACTGATCATCCAAAGCCTCATTTATGCAAAGGTGGTGACAGAGTGGGCTTGGCCTGGAGGCAAGGCTCTTCAAAAACTCGAAAATAATGGTGCGTGGTGCAAGCAAGTGTTCCAAAGACTTGGGTCCCAAAGTTAGCATTGTTTTTTGAGTCTTATAAGTACTCCCACATAGTGTTACCCCACGATAGCTGTTGGGTGTATTGCTCTATATTGCTCTTTGCTGGGCCCCAAAAAGACCGTCCAGGCTGTCGGGCGAGTTCTCTGAAGCATGGGAGTTGGACAACTTTCCTTTTGATTGCCAAGACCTCACGGTATCCATCATGATCCGGTACCCCAAGGAGCCTGGCAAATATCAGATGAGGTTTGTGCGAGACAGTCATCGGGACAGAACATCCTTTGTCAGGGACAAGAATTTCCCGAGCCTGGAGAGAACTTGGGACTTTCCGGAAAAGCTGATCGTTTGGTCCAGAGACGTGAACCATATGAAGAATATGAAAAAGATGAAAAAATCGGAAATCCGTGCTGTTTCAAAGGAGACTACTTCAAACAAAAAGGACATTGAAATGATGCGACAAATTCTGCATGTGACCTTGCAAGTGCGGAGGAACCCATGGTACTATGTCTCCAACATCGTCGTGCCAATGTTCTCCATTGTTCTTTTGAGTGGAAGCTCCTTTGTCATACCTGTAGAGAAAATTCAAGATCGCTTGTCAGCTAGTTTGACCTTGGTGCTGACAGCCGTGGCCTACAAGTACAACGTTGTACAGACTGCGCCTCCCATCGGCTACCACACATGGCTGGACTGGTACGTGCTGATGTGCTATGTCGCGCTCTTTTCAGTTGTGATGGAAAACTGCATTTCGTACATCGTTTTCTGGCATACCCAAGACCAGAATACCAAAGATTACCAGCAGACCAAAGGCTACCAGAACCATGTTTCCATTGAGCGCTGGGTGGTGTTCGGTATGTCCATCGTGTTCTTCGGCTTCAACCTCAAATTCGTGCGCGATGCATATCGTGCCAAGTCATTGCCAAGCAGAGTCGCCCGGAGACTCAAAGAAAACAAGGAACGTGAAGTTCCATGGCTTGAAGGCTTTGATGTGCTTTCTCCCCGCAGCGCCTGCAGTAGTTTCTGTCCTGAACCACAAAGTTCCGACGATGATTGAAGGACCGACGTTTGTTCGAGTCCATGTGAACAAAGATGACCTGCTACACATTTTGTGCAGCGATGACAGTCGGGACGATGGCCAAAAGGTTTGCACGTGTCCGCAGTGTCCGCTTCCTTTCTGATTGCCTATAGGCGCAACCAGTTTTCACATTGTCCGTCACTTGTGATATCTTCAGAACTCCTGCTTCAATATATATTTTTTGATTTGGGGGACCATGTGAGTATTCCATCGGATACCCAAGCTGCAAGGCGTGGAGGTAAGGTCTTAGGACCTTAGTTAGGGCTAAAGACAAATCACCTCATCATATGCCTTACATTACCCTACCATATTTTATCATGATATAATTTTCATATACTGTAATCATACCTGATCATGCCTTAATCACCTTTTTTTTGCCCGTCCAATTCACACAAGGCTGAAGAAAAACTCCTCTTGAGAACCCGAAACGAAAATCCATCAATGCCAAATGGCCAAGGGCTGATGCGGGGCAAACAAATTGCTTCATTCCATCAACCCAGGAGTTTCTCGGTGGTTCTGATTTTTCCTGCGGGTGCAGTGGCGGGCGTCGAGGAAAAGGCCATTTGACAGGGAGAGACCAGGGTTGGTAGCCATTGCATGGTTTATTTTGCGCCTCACTGAAGTTTAGTGCAAATCAAAGTACCAAGAGAATTCAACACCTTCCAGATTAAACAAAACCCCAAATATTCACCTTAGAAGCATTGAGTGACAGGATCTATTCATTCTATTCATTTCTATTCATTTTGGAGAGTCAAGAATTGGGAGTATTTATGTCATATTAGGAGGATTGGGTGTATTTAATGCAGTATGAGGATAGATAAGATAAGTATCAGCCACCATGGGATTCAATCTGTTATCAAGCAGACGGCCATCCCAAAAATCCCTGTGACTCAATTCTTTTCTGCCCAGTCACAGTCGCCACAGTTGCCACGGTCGCCATGGCGTACAGGAAGAGAACATGTCCCGACGAAGTGATTTGTTCAACTTCCGGAATTGAGCTTCTCAGCCCATGTCTGAGTGGATGGTTTTGGACACAACTTTTGTTTGTCACTAAGTAAAAGTGTAAGTCAATAATAGTCAATATCCAATCATCCAATCGGCTGACATATTTAATGGAATCCATATGTTATGTAACTATTGATAAATCCACATTTACGAACCATCACAACCAGATCAGATCGGAATGATGGAGGGCTAGGCACCTTGATGTTACTTGTGCTCACATTTTTTGCATATCTGGCAATGGACATCTAAGAGGTCTACGAGCAAACATGGGTTTCTCCAGAACTGCGGGCGTACCCGGAACTTGCAATGCTGATGGCGACTTGAGTTTCTATCTTTTTCATAGCATTATCTCATCATCCCCAGATTGATTGGGATTGTCGGTTCTTAACTCCACTTGAGCATTTGGCAGCCATCTCCTATCCAAGGAGAGCATTATCCGATTGCAGAGACTTCCTGCCGCTGGGACAATATCGCAACAACGGGTCAAACCTGAAATGTCAAATGAATGTTGGGTTTATATGGGATTATATCGGAATATTTTAGGATGATCATGGAGGATATATACTTATCTTGTGTTTATCAGACTTGGTGTGCGATATGAATTCTGTTTGGAGCCGGGCTGAAGGCTTCCTGGAGCTTTGGCAGCTGCCCAATGAATCCCCTGCTGCGCCAAACAAGTTAAGCCGTTAGCGTGCATTATTTCAAATCCTATAGATATCATATGATGTTTTTTAGCTTGAGGGCAGAAGAATCCTTCTCACAACCGTTCAACAAAGATGTTTCGATGTTTTGAGCATTCCCTGTTGGACCAGGAACTTTCTGTGTCCTTTCATGCGCTGCACCTCGGTCTCCGAAGTTGAGCAGTTGAGCCAAGACAGGCCATGCCGAGAGCGGCCTTCGGCGAGATCGTGCTGGAAGATTGTTGAAGTACTTCATGAAATCATGAAACACCATGATTACTTCAACAATCTTCCAGCAATATCATGGTGATTTTAGAGAAAAATGATTTTACCTTTGTCCCAAGGCGACATTCCAAGGTTTTTTTTTATCACATGGGCACAGCTGAGGAGCGTATGCGTAGGAAGGCTGGTTCAAATTTGGATGTGACAGTAGCTGCTACCAATTGAACTTCAAACCGAGATGTGATCTTTTGCAGTATCTTCAAACACACCATGAAGGTATGATGTTGATCCCCTAAAAACTGCATCTTTGATGTGCGTTGCTGGATGTTGGCAGATTCGGGCACTGCTTCATGGTGCGAAGTCGGCTGCGACGCCTGCATTTTTTCTGCCGTTGGCTGTGGTGCTTTTGGAAACCCACCTGAGGAGCATGTCTGGGAGATTGGTTGGTCAGGTTGAAATGCGTCAGAAATATCCATGCCATTTTTCTAGATCTCGAGGCGCATGCGATTTGATTCCGCTTCAACACCAGGTTCCGGACAAGGTTCCAGAGGGTTACCGTGCAGACAGCTGGTGAGGTTTCGAAAGTTCCGGTTCAGATAGCTCCTGAGGTTCCGGTGAAGGGTTCCTGAAGATACCTGCGGAGGTTCTACGGTTCTAGAGGGTTCTAGAGGTGCAGATACCTGATGAGGTTCTAGAGGGTTTTGGTGCATATATCCGGAAGTTTCCGGTGCAGATACCTGATGAGGTTCCGGAGGGTTCCGGTGAAGACGCCCTGTGAAGATACGTGGTGAGTCTGCGGTGATCGGGAGGGTTCCTGCAGAACTTCAGATCCGTCTTTGTCCCTTTTTGCTGGCAGTTTCAGTGAATGGTCCCTCATGCGGAGTTCGGAGGATTTGGTTCACGATCGCGCATTGATTACCATTGATCACCTGCAAATCCTTGGGAAGGAATGCAATCGCAAATCGACCCACGCTGGCTTTTGCGTTGGCACTGACAAGCTGGTCGGGGGCCTCAGCCGGAAGCTAGTGGAAGGACACTGAGGACGGTTGAAAAAAAGCGTACGTTAGTGATCGATACGCTCCATGTCTGACGCAACATTTTTGAGTTCTGACATGGAACGACATGGCCCACATTTCGAAGTGCCGCACGTCAGCAAATAAAGATCAAATTGTGTTTCATTTTTCAACAATTTCAACGCATATGTTCCACACAGAGAATACAAACAGCCACCAATTTTCTACAATTTCCATTCTTCATTTTGAAAGTAAAGGGCCACAAGATTTCAAATCAAAATGTAGGAATTGGGGTCCCAGATCGCGAAAGCGTAGGAAATTGGGATCAACATCCGCATGGCTCACTTGTAAAATCATGCAAAGACACGATACAGCCGCTCAGAATCGCCGTGTCGTTCGTTTGAACGACACGGCGATTCTGAGCGGCTGTATCGTGACTGGAACAGGCAAGTGGACACAAAGCGTCACTCTGTGGGACAAACCACCCGACCGATGGAGCTGTGCATTATGTGTTGAAGTAGCAGCCCAGGATTCATCGGGCTCCGAAGAACAGGTCATCAGGAAAACAGTAGTCCACAACAAACGTTGCAAAGAAGACGCTGTGGAAGCTGCAGTCGGACTGTGGTTGAAAACGATGAGCCAAAGAGGCGAATGTTGTTGTGACCTAGCCATGAAACATTTCACCGACTGCCTACAGAAGGCATTTGAGGAGTACCAGAAGGCCAAGGAGGAGAAGGGCAAGGACCAAACCAACCGCAAAAAGTAACATCAAATCGGATGTGAGTTGATCACCATCCTTAATCATCCTTCCAGCACAGCTTTTGGTGCTTGCTTTCACCCACTGGCGAGGATCGCCAGTGGGTGAAAGCAAGCACCAAAAGCTGTGCTGGAAGGATGATTAAGGATGGTGATCAATTCACATCCGATTTGATGTTACTTTTTGGGCTCCGAAATGAGCAACGCTCAATGAGCCCAGACGATTGAATTACCGTTGTACAGATTTTGGCAATCAATCTTGTGCCCTGCCTGCCATTGCAACCTCTGTTGCATTGTTTAGTCGGTCATTCTGGCAGCCTGGCCTTTATAGATTGAGCCTCAATGGGAAAAATCGCGTTTGTTCAGATTCGCAAAAACGTGCACCATTGGCAAATGGTTGGCAAGTCTGCTTTCTTGTCACGTTGAACCGTTGTTGGAGCCAGTTCGGTCTTTGATCCCCTTGACTCCCTTGACCATGGTTTCGTTCAGGCAGAACCAGGCCGGGGGTGCCGCAAATCTCTCTTCGTGAGCGGTTTGTGTCATCCTGATTAGTGGTCATTGCAGATGCATCTGTCATTTGTTGTTTTTTTCGTCGGGGTATAATGAGTGTAGCAACCGCTTCCGTTCCCATGGGCACGGTAGCGCGCGCTGTGCTCTTTAGATCAACTATTGATGCATTCTTTGCCTTTCGGGAATGGAGTTGCGGCAGGCTGTTGCTGCCAATGATGCAACGATCGGAGAAACGACCTCAGGGATGGCTGTTTGGTTCGCTGTAATTTGAAAATCCTGGTCTCAATTCATGACCTGCGGGTTTGGCATAGCAAGTTGAAGGATGCATGAGGATCGGCTAGCTGGCAAGGCATGATTGTCAAAACATCAAGTTGCTTTGCTTTTTGGACTCGTTCTGGAATTTTCCAGTCGAACTTACTTTTTGAAGATTGAGTTTGAGACAACAGTGAATGAAAGCAGAAGGTAGACATGGGACCTGCCACAGTTTGTTCTTGTGAACATCGGTCAACAAACGTTCCAGTCCTTAGTTTTCACAAACTCAGTAGAGACTTGGTTCAACTTGCCCGTGAGAGATGGTTGATGATGGGATGGTGGGATGGAAAAAAACGGTCAGAAAATAGTGATGTCACTGAGGAAAGATTGTGTTTTAAGTGTGCAAAACGGGATGATGGTGTGGGATGCCGCTATTTTGGTGGAATTCATCATGCCCTGAAATTGGTTCAAAGACGATACACTTGTTCTATGATGTTTATACGACTTCAAAATTCGGAATTTCCAGACTTCACCATCCAATCCATATTCCTTTCCACTTTCCCTTCAAAATCATCCAGCCTCATTCCTCAACCGCCATCCCCCATCCAGTGAGGACACCGTAGT